TTCTAACTCTCTATCCCTCTCCCTTCCTCTCTGTAAAAAATCAATAAAATATATGTTAAAAAAAAAAGAAATTAAGGAATCAAACCAGTGACCTCTTGGTGCACGGGTCAATACTCAACCACTGAGCCATCCCAGCAAGACTAAACATTTTATAGCCCCAACTCAAAAAAGCCACGTAAAACATGACACAGTACATTTTAACTCTGCACTGCAGAGACCTTCTGACAATGTAGTCTCTCTGCTTAAGCAGCGAAATTAAGATGTGTTAGACCTGTATTTGGGGTACTTCCCTTCTCAATGTTTAATCGGCAGTTAGAACCGTCTATGAGAGTGTAGTAATTCAAAGGAGTGCTACGTACAAACTCAGTGTCCAACAGTTTTCCTTTCTTAGTCTTAAAACTCTAGGTTATAGCCCACAGGAAGCACACAGCAGAGGACGGCTAAAGTGCTAGAGTAACATCAGACCTTCCATTCAGTTCTCTCCCAATGTGCTGCTGGAAGTCAGTGTTGAGTATGTCACGATACATTAAAGATGAACATTGTAATCCCAAGAGTAATCTCTAAGAAAAAGAAGTGAAAGAACTACAGCTACAAGTCTATAGAGGAATTAAAGTGATATACTAAAAACAGCACAAACGAGGGCTGCCAGGAAGGGAGGAACAAGAATGAGACAAGTGGACAAGAGCAAACAGCAGGTGTGAGTCTAACCCAGGGGTGGGCAAACTTTTTGACTCGAGGGCCACAATGGGTTCTTAAACTGGACCGGAGGGCCGGAACAAAAGCATGGATGGAGTGTTTGTGTGAACTAATATAAATTCAAAGTAAACATCATTACATAAAAGGGTACGGTTTTTTTTTATTTTTAGTTTTATTCATTTCAAACGGGCCGGATCCGGCCCGCGGGCCGTAGTTTGCCCACGGCTGGTCTAACCACATCAATAACTGCACTGAGTGAACAGGCTACACATAGTGATAAAACATGCTGAGAACGCATCATACACACATTTATTACAAACTATACCGAGCTGAAGAATGTGGACCACATGATTACACACAAAAAGAAAACATACAATGCTCTTTAACAAATGATATATGAGAGGAGATACCTGGCAAAAGTTGAGAAACCCTAGGCTAGAAGTACTCAGCACTATTCGCAAAACTCTCCAGGTAAAATAAAGGGTGAATATTAAATGCCAACACACACGTACACACACTAGTACCACGCCGAGTGAAAAGCTGCTGAGGATTCACTGTTAACAAGTACTCAAGCCCAAACAGCAGGCACCGCAATCAGTGGTGAAGCTTCCCAGACCGCACAATTTCCAGACTGGAGCTCCCTTAACATTTTTTTACAAGATTTTCAAACTACAGGAGAGTTGAAAGATTTATGGACTGAACACCTATACACCCACCTAGCATTAATTAATATTCAGCCAATTAACATTTGCTATATATTGGCTTTATCATATATCGATCCATTTACCAATCCCTCTACCTATATCTCTCAGTGCACCTTATATTTCTGGACTGGGTTTTTTAAGGGAAGAAAAGCACTGATGAAGAGAAAGTTGAATTGAGAAGAGAAAAAACAATGTACGAAAAAAATGAGTCATTTAATTATTTTGACAAATCTCAGGCATATGCAACTATTATTCACACTAGTGGCCGGG